TCAGCAGCGTCATTTTAGGATTGGGAAGCTGCATGTATTAATAGAGCCTAATTACCGTCTTGATTTTCCACATCAAACGTTTCGTTTCCAGTTGATCTGCTCTTATTGAAAATTAGAACGTGTCGACAGAGCTTTCAGAAAATTCATCGCTGTTGATACCAAATCTGTTTGATACAAGCAGCAACACCTCCGGTGTTTAAAATGAAGCTGAGCTGAAGTGTGTGTGAGAAATTCTGTTTATTTGATGGATTGCTCCTTGAGATCTCGTTTTCGAGGGGGTCCAACACAAAAACAAAAACACAACAGTATAGCGTGATACACACAGAAACATAAAGGCTCCGCCCACGTATCCCTCCCGCAAAGCCACAGCACCCACACAAAGTCATCAGAGGTAGATGATCATAATGACATGCAATCAAGAAAACAAAAAGATATGATATTAAAGGGGTAAGAAGACATTAAGTGTAACATCCTGCAGTTCCTGGAGTGTCCACTAGAGGCTGGCTGCAGAAGCACAGGAAGTCACATACACACCCATTCTAAAAAGCCTGTTTTTACAGCAGAGATGAACATGTTTACAGCCTGGTTCAAAAAACCAAATAGGTGTGATTAGCTCATGTCTGGATGGACACACACTGTACGGGGGGTGAATGTTTTGATGACTCATCAGTTTTGATTTGATGAAGGATAAGAGTTATTCACAATAAGGCGTGTAGCTGACCTGATTGACAGGTGGGCGCGGTGTAACGGTTTGTCAGGAGGTTTAAAACCCGCCTCAGCTCCAGCTCTCAGCCTGTCGTTAGGTTGACTGAAAGTTAGACTGAGACAGCATTTCCAGCATGGAGACCGCCATCGATGGGACTCCAGCGCCCCCTGCAGGAACAGACGGGGGACGCCATCGATGGGACTCCAGCGCCCCCTGCAGGAACAGACGGGGGACGCCATCGATGGGACTCCAGCGCCCCCTGCAGGAACAGATGGGGGACAACACTCAGACTGGTTCAGGAACTAAAGCTGCTGTTCTTCTGCTCATCTCTCTTCTGTTGATCTCTTCCTGTGAGTTAGTGTGACTGCTAATGTAAGCGTGACATTATGGTCTGTTATCTCCTTCAGCATGTGGACGATGACTCAGCGTTGTCCCTCAGAGTGTCTCTGAGATGTCAGGTCAGCTCACCTCCTCCTTTGAGGATCACTCATCTCCTGACCTCCACTGTCTCACACCTTATGATCCCTCTGTAATCCTGACCCGACCTTTTCCATCCAGAGGCGTGTTTGAAGTCTGCTCGCTGTCGTCTCCATCTTAACCCAGCATGTCTCCTCTCAGGGCGTCCCTGACCCTCTCTCTCCAGAGGGCGTCTCCTCTCAGGGCGTCCCTGACCCTCTCTCTCCAGAGGGCGTCTCCTCTCAGGGCGTCCCTGAACCTCTCTCTCCAGAGGGCGTCTCCTCTCAGGGCGTCCCTGACCCTCTCTCTCCAGAGGGCGTCTCCTCTCAGGGCGTCCCTGACCTCTCTCTCCAGAGGGCGTCTCCTCTCAGGGCGTCCCTGAACCTCTCTCTGCAGAGGGCGTCTCCTCTCAGGGCGTCCCTGAACCTCTCTCTCCAGAGGGCGTCTCCTCTCAGGGCGTCCCTGACCCTCTCTCTCCAGAGGGCGTCTCCTCTCAGGGCGTCCCTGACCCTCTCTCTCCAGAGGGCGTCTCCTCTCAGGGCGTCCCTGAACCTCTCTCTCCAGAGGGCGTCTCCTCTCAGGGCGTCCCTGAACCTCTCTCTCCAGAGGGCGTCTCCTCTCAGGGCGTCCCTGACCCTCTCTCTCCAGAGGGCGTCTCCTCTCAGGGCGTCCCTGAACCTCTCTCTCCAGAGGACGTCTCCTCTCAGGGCGTCCCTGACCCTCTCTCTCCAGAGGGCGTCTCCTCTCAGGGCGTCCCTGACCCTCTCTCTCCAGAGGGCGTCTCCTCTCAGGGCGTCCCTGAACCTCTCTCTCCAGAGGGCGTCTCCTCTCAGGGCGTCCCTGACCCTCTCTCTCCAGAGGGCGTCTCCTCTCAGGGCGTCCCTGAACCTCTCTCTCCAGAGGGCGTCTCCTCTCTGAGAGAAAAATGCATGATGGAAAATCATTTCAAACCGAATGTAGTAGAGACCCTGTGAGAGTTTCAGTAAGTCTCTGAGAGTCTTTGAGGAGACTCTTTAAAGTCTTCTCTTGTTTGTTAGACGTTGGACGGGGGACATGTTGGGACACAAACATTACAGTTTCTCCCACTAAACGCCCACAAGCTCCCAGAGTCCACTGTTAGCGTTTCCATTTTGGAGCTTCTCTGCTTCCTGCGTTGGCTCTGAAAGTTGGCTCTGAAGCGAGTTACAGAATCATGCAGCGAGTTCTCCTGTGAGCTGCTCGTGTGTGGTCCTGACACATCCTTCCACCGAGCTAATGTGAGGTGTCGTTTCAGCATTAACACCACGTCTACTGAGGCTGCACGCTGCCAGCTTCTCTTCCACCATCTGTCTCTGCCAGGCTGAAAACAAGCGAGGAACGAGGGGGACCAAATATTATCCAACCACTGGCTCCAGCTGTGTTTGGTATGAGACCAGAGGGGGCGATTATGTGTGCCCACCGGGCCAAAGCATGCCCAGTTCTTTGGCAAAGACAAAGTACAGTGATAGAGCCCCGCGGAGGGTTGACGAGCTAAAGACGCGTCCTGATCAGCGCTCCAGAGAGCTCTCTACCCGTTTGAAGCTTCAGAGAATTAATCACAGCCGCTCTCTGCAAACCGATCATAATGGTCAGCTCAGAGGTTGCACCCAAATAGCCAGCGGCCAATTAATGAGCCACGAGTCCAATTAATGAAAAAAAAGAAAGCAGGGATGCACTGCTCGTAAACTTCTTGGGTAATTGGATGACACTATCGTCTCAAGTTAATTTCACAGACAGAAATAAAAACAAACTGAGCTTTCCTCCGAGCTCGATAAGTTCTGACCCACTTTCTCAAACTGGCAGCGTCTGTGAGCCGCTTCATTTAGTGTGTCCTTGAAATCAACAGCATTCTCTCTGCTGCTTCAGTGACATATCTCAATGTTTCACAGCCAAGAGTCCCCGTCTTTAAGTGTCTCTTTTTAAATAAACATGTGAGACGGAAACAGGAACTGACAAATTGACAGACGAGAACGGGCGGCCCGTCGACGCAGACTTTTACTTTGAAAGATAAAACTCTTCCAGCCCATGATGTGGATAATTGCTCTGCTAATAAACTCCACCTTTGTCCTCTGAATGAGGAAGAGGTCGTCATGGAGACGGCGGAACAGAAAATAAACAAAGTTTTAATTGACGCAGTAAAATGGGCCGCCGATAAAAAGCTAATTAGTGAATAAATTTAAAGCAGAACTGTAATCCTGCCTGTTAATGATCCAAACACCTTCAACACCTGTGAGGTGTGTTGTGTACTCATCAGCATTATCTCAGTCTCACACCAACAGAACTCCTGATAATGTACAAAAACTCCGACGTGTGGAAACCAACTGCTGAATGTTTCACCCCGACTCAAACTCCAGGTGAGCTGATGTGTCACTGCAGCGGTGTGTGACATAAGTTCAATATGAGCTCTGAGTCTCACTAAGTTAAATAAAGGTCGATTAGGGGCGTGGCCTCATTCCAGACATAAACAATAACTTGTCCAAATGATTATTTTACTGCTCCTGATTGAGTCGGAGCGTCCCCAATCTGGAATTATATTTGAACAATTGAAATATTTATGATTCCAGGTCGAGCTGCGTCTGACAGAAAACCTTCAGCAGCCAATGAGAGCGAGCGGACGGGGGAGTGTCACCTACCTGCTGGTGCGTCACTTTAACAGCTTAAACACAGCTGAGCCCTGAGCCGAGTGGCCTATAGACGAAGAGCAGCTTGTGTAACCATGGCAACAACAACACAAGTGTCTTTATAACGTCTCATGTAGACGAACCTCACGGCCAGCTGACCACGACCATCGTCCACAAAGACGCTGATGGATTGAAAGTTGTAATATTTGAGAAAGGAGAAAGGTGGAGTGGTGTAGCGTCTGACTTCAGTCACCATGAGCTCACTTCTGCTTGAGTCATCTTGTTCTGTTTGGAAGTGTCTGAACGTCCTTCAATCACACTTTATTGATGGTTCTGACTGACGCGGCGCTTCCTCCGGTGCTCGTGAGGCGAAAACAAAATCAGCCATCAATCATGAAGTTTTGTCCCAGAAGAGGTGAACAATTGCTCAGCTCTCAAATCCTGACAACATCTTCTAAAAGCTGAAATCAGAGACGAGCTGTGGAGATCCAAAGAGAGACCAAACATGGAGCCAGAGAACAAAGCAGAACAGTAAAATCCAGTCAGAGGACAGAGTCTCTGCAGACACAGTCACCACCACACATGTACGGAGGAAACATCTGTATTTTATTTTGAAGGAATAAGTTACTGATTCTATGTTTAACAGACTCTAATGTGTATCACATTTTGTACTTGTAGGAGGAACTGGATTTGTTTGGACCAGAGAAGGTAGGTGGTTTTAAGGCCCTCCCTCTGGACGCCCCTCAGTTTGTCAGATATGAGAGCAGTTATCAGGTCAACAGGTGTTGCAGCGATGGAAGCGGGCAAGAGAAGTGGTTCAGATAGAAGTGATTGTACCCGACCTAAAAAGCCTCTGCATGTTTCTAATAAGCTCCACGAGCAGAAACGTGCTCAAACTAGGATCAATATTGGAGATGCTTTTGAAAAATGGAGAGAGGTTAGAACACAGAAAGGTTTACAGACCCATGCAGAGCTGGATAAACACTGAAGCTTCAGAGTCCACCACATGGTGACCTGAGTGAGCATCCACTGCAGTACCCATTTTAAACACTAGGTGTAGATAACTAGAGTTACATACTGCTCCTTTAATATCCTCAGACATGTTCTATACAGTTCTTTAAAGTTTGCTTTCTTGCTACAGCTAATAAATACATAAACTGAAATGTTAAACTACTAAAATAATTATGATAGCTACTCTGAACTAAATATATATCTTTTAACTCACTGAGTGAACGTCTTACTAAAGGTTTGACTTTGCTTTTGAAGCTCTAACTTCACAGAATGAGACGTTGTGCCGACTGTCCACACAAAGATTAAAGATGAGAACTATTACTCGAGTCACACACGCACGCTCAGACTATAAAAAGTGGCGACCTCCGGCACGGCGACTTGGAGACTGGAGGGCAGAAAAGTGCAGCGCGTGGCTCTGCTGTGCCAGAGAGCAGAGGTGCATCCTGGGGGCCCATTCATGCCTGACTGACACCACCATCCATCATCCAGTTTATCAGAGTCCAAGTGGCGGTGCTGAGAGTGTCCTACAGCTGTCTGTTATGTAAAGAAATGGCCCTCGCTCGTGATGGCGGCGGCGGGCTGCTAAAGAAGCACGAGAGCTGTTGACCTTTAAAACCGACAAACTTCAGAGAACAGATGAACTCCTTCTGGACGGCGTCCAAATGCAGTAAAGGCTCTCCACATCGATATCCAGGGCGGCTTCTGATGCCCTTTAATAATTAATGACATAAAAAATTACTTTGGAGAAACTTCAGCTCTCCTCCGTGGCGTTCAGTCGAGGTTACAACACGTTTTTTAACTGCACATGAGAAGTGGACGTCACCTCTTAAAAAGTGAAGTCAAGTGCAGAAGTTGGTCTTTTAAACAGCCGGCAGGGGGCGCCACACTGTGGAAGGAGAACTCAGATTATATTAACCCTCTGAAGTCTCTAAGGACAAAAATGTCCACTTCCAAAAAACTGATATAAGAATAGAACAGAGTGATATTTTTTTCTACTTTTTTCTGCTTAAATCTCTTCAACAACTTCAGCCCTGCTCAAAACTACCAAACATTCAATCATTTTTAGGAATTTAACCCTTTAAATGCCAGTTTGATTACATGATTCTGGCATGTGTCCTCGCCACATGTCCTCGCCACGTGTCCTCGCCATGTGTCCTCGCCATGTGTCCTCTCGAGGATTAGATTAAACATATTTAACCGCTGCTTTTCTGATCGCATGTTAGAGGGGAATATGTTGCTTCTAAATATGAGAGATGCATGTTTTAATGGAAGGAAATATGTGAGGATGTGTAGCGACCCCAACAACCCAGCACGCCAAAATGCACGCCAAGTGGAGCAGAGTTGAGAAGTGATGGAGTCAGGTAGCACGCTGGATGTGCTGTGTGCTTTATGATGAGCTGTGCATGAAGAGAAACATAAGAAACAAATGTTCTGAGGTTCTGCTTTTATGGTTTTTAGGATTTCAGACGATTAAACTTATTTTACCCATGATGCACTTCTGAACATATCAAGATAACATCAGGAGGATGGCTCCTGAATTCCTCCTGACCTTCAACCCTGCACGCTGGCCACGTGACTGACAGCGACAAATGTCGTCTGATTGGTTCTTGTTGGAGTTAGCTGAAATCCCAGCTCCACATTATGCAGGTTTCATATTTAAAGGGACACTTCACCCATTAGCATTAATCTTTGTATCATTAGAAACCTGGAAGTGTTTGTGAATGGTCGTGCATCCCGCCCTCATTTTCCCCTGAGATGGGAAATCTTTGTAGGGGGCCGCCGCTGGCCGTCTGTAAACCTGACCTTAGTGGGAGTGGCCTGTGGTGCTGTGCATTCTGGGATTTTGTGTCTTTCATCCACATGAGCCAAAAAGACACTTTCTGTCTTTTCTCAGCCAAGAAGGCTCCGACTTCAAAATGTATTTCACATTTCTACATATATGACCCAATGTCAACACAGATTCATGTTTCAAGGGGGGAAGTATCCCTTTAAGAAAGTGCGTTTTAATAGGTTACAAACCAGGAAGTAGAACACGCTCCCCAGTGCACGGCTGTTTGGTCACCACGTCTTGTAGCCCTGGTTGTAAAGGGGGGCACTTCAAATCCAGTGTGGCATCAGAGTAATGGAAAAGGACTAATGAAGAGCCGAGTCAGTGAGCGACCTTTTAGAAAAGTAGACCGTCCCCTGGGACGCCTCTCGGCTCGCTGCAGCCTCTAAAACACAATCCCATTTAAAGGAAGCAAAGTGACCTCGCTCACATCCTGCTGAGCCAATAACAACTGAGAGCTCAGTGAGGAAGAAAACCTCCCCCCCCCCCCCCCCCC